AGGGCGCAGCTCTCCACACGTGGGGCGCAGCCGGGGCCGAGGGGCCGGCGCAGAGTGGGCGGGGACAGAGTAAGGGGGCGACTGGGTGGGGAGGAACGTGGGGAGTGAGGGACTGGGGGAAGGGAGGAGGATGGAAGGGGGGCAGGGCACGGGGAGGAAAGAGGAGGGAGTTTGGGGAGAAGGCTGCGGGAGGGGGTGTGGGGGGCGAGCTCCCGGGGAAGAAGGGACTGGAAGAAGGGTTGGGCGGGAGGGATTGGCGAGCCCGGGTGCAAGAGGAAATGAGCAGGGGGAGGGGGACGAGGTTAGGGCGAGGAGAGAAGTGGGAAAGTGGAGGGAGGGATGGGGGTAGGGAGGAGGGGTCTGGGGGCCGGTGGAGGGGGGGTGAGGCGCTAGGCGGCTTTGCTTCCCGTCCCCCTCCATTGGCCGCTAGCTCTGTTTTGACTGCGTGTACAAAGCCAGCAGACGGCGGGGGAAGGGGCGGTTAGGGACCGGATTCTGGAGAGGCTGCAGACCCTTCCCCTCCCCCTTAACTCCTGCGGGCTACGGACCAAGGAAGAGGGTCTCTAAGCACGCCTGCTTCTTCTGGACCCGCAGCTGAACTTCCACGTCGGGTAGAGGCCGCAAGGTTGAGGATAAGCTCGAGGTCCTAGAGCAGAGACCCGAAATACAGACCCTGAGTAGGGCGACTGGCATTCAGCCTGGGACACAGGCGTGTGCCAGAGTGGGCCACAGTTTCAACCCAAGGTGGCCTGGCCCTGCTCATCACGCGCCTGCCCCCATCTCCCCAGCGGGAGCCCTGTCCATAATCTGGACTGCAGAGGGCTGACCATTTCAAGATTTAAATGGCCCCCTCTGGTCTAGAGAGGCCTCAAGGGGGCTCCTCTGCACTCTGGCGGCAAGGACCCTTGGAGTGGGCTCAGAGTGTGTGCTTCTGGGTGATCCCTGGCAGGCCTGTGCACTGGTTTATCTCTAGGGTGCAGGGAGGGGGTGGAATCCTTGAAGGGCCTTAGGGAGTGGGGTGGGAACCCCAGGCTGGTGAATGGCTTTAGACATAGGGCACCTCCTTGGTTCTTGGCTTGAACTCCTTTGTCTGTGTTAATAATTAAACACCAGCAGTTGATGATCAGGACGAGACTTGCCCTCCAGAACCTCAAAGCCCGGTGGACTCTCCCCCAGACCCTGTGGTCTTCCTTTGGTGGCCCGGTTTTTATGACATCTTTGTGAAGCCGGAGTCCTTCCGTCCATGAAATTTCATAAATAAAAAAGCCAGACACCTCTGAAAAGTATGACTGACCCTTCAAGAGCAGTTTAGGATACAGTTAAAAGCAAGCAGTGTCTTGTATTATTCAAGCCTAAATTAAGAACCCTACTTTATATATAATGTATATATTCCTGTCCTGATTTACCCAGATGTGTGCTATTTGGCAGCTAAATGTACCTGGAATTTGGCACCATCCCTGCTCCCCACCCCTTGCCCCCTTATTTTTCCAAGTCAAGCAAGAGTCTTAAGGTAATAGCCCTTCTTACAATATTCTAGTAAGGCCGAAGGGGAAAAAAAAAAAAAGCTTGATTCTTTTCATGTTGATCATCAATTTGTTGAAATCCAAAGAAGTTAGAGCTACAAGGATATTTGTTATGTACTTCAAACAAAAATACTGGCTTTAAAAAGTGGTTTAACCATACATTTTGTGATACCTTGTCTGCTGTTTTTCATCAAATATACCAATTAGCTTCACGATCACACCTTATCTATTGCATTAAAAGCAAATTTAAAATTGCTCATGCCATTACCCTTTGAAACAACTATCTCACCTTTTAGAAATTTGTTTAAATGCTGTGAAGTCAAACAATTAGAAATTACCAACACAGTACACTATTGCAAATGTCTTCGCAACTGGACCAATACACAGCATCATGATAAATGGAGAAAAGATTGAAGTTGTCAAAGATTTTATCTTCCTTGGATCTACAATCAATGCTCATGCAACAGCAGTCATGAGATCAAACAATGCACTGCATTGGGGAAATCTGCTCTCTGTAAAGTACTGAAAAGCAAGGATGTTATTTGAGGCCTAAGGTGTGCCAGACCCAAACCATGGTATTTTCAGTGAAGTTGGACATTGAGTAATGAAGGCCAAATAAAAACTGATGCATTTGAATTATGGTATTGGCAACCACTAGGTCAAAAGTTAGACAGCACCAGGCACTCCTTGGGAAAAAGACAGGGCATTCTACAGTCTCAGAAACTCACAGGGAAAGTTCTACCCTGCCCTATAGGGTTGCTATGAGTTGGAATTGACTCAATGGCCGTGAATTTGGTTTGATTTTATACTGAAAGAACAAACAAATCTATCTTGGAGGAAGTACAGCCAGTCAGCTGTTGTTGTTTTTCCTCGCCCTAGCTACGATTATCTTGGTTATTGGTTGGTTTTCTAGAGCTGCCATAGCAAAATACCACAAATGGGTAACTTAAAACATCAGAAATGTATTCTCTCACAGTTTAAAGGCCAGAAGTCTAAAAATGGGGGTGCTGGCACTGTTGATTCCTTTTTAGGGCTCTGAAGGAGAATATTTTCCGTGTTCTTCTTCTTTGTGGCTAGCTTCTTCCTTGTGTCTGTCTCTTCTTTTTTTATAAGAACACCAGCCTTGTCAGAGTAGGAACCCACCCTACTCCAGCATGACTTCCCGTTGACTTAATGAACTATATCTATAAAGACCCTATTCCAAATAAGGTCACATTTACAGTTACTTGGGATAGGATTTCAGCACATCTCTTTGAGGGGTACAGTTCAACCCATAACATTTTGATGAGTGAATCTTTATGGAATCCTGGGCATTTTCAGCATTATGTTATGAGAGTCTGGATATGATTTATATAATCTGTTTTAGCAAACCTCCTTTGTGCTGGTGGGAAGTTGGAGAGGGTGTTGCTTCATTAATGCCAGATGAGAGTGGACAGCTATTCAGCCCCTATTGAAAGGAGTTTCTTGCTACTGATGGGCAAGAGTGTTAAGTTGTAACCCTCAAAGAGATGTATTGGAATCCTGTCCCAAGGATCTGTTCCATTAAAATTTTGCTGAAGCCACTCTATCTGGGAAGTTCCTCAGTACTGCTTCCCTCCTGGATCCCCATGACATTGTGCTGTACAGATGACACGACTTCTCTAAAATAATTTTAAAACAGTTATGATGTCTCAATTAGCAGATATAAATATGCTTGAAACAGTGAAAATTAAAAAGCCTTTGCATAGACAAGACCCCCCCCTGAAAACTTCAGGGCTGAAAAAGTGCAGCCACAATTTTAAAAGTCAATGGATAGACTTAACAGCAAAATTAAGAAGACTGGGGATAAGCTTACATCTGATGGTCATTGAAGTCCCAGAAAAAAAAAATAGGAAAAAAAAGGATAAGGCTTCTGACATAATTGCCAAAAAAGTTCTCATATTTGGCAAAAGGCATGAATATATAGATTCAAGAAGCTGAGTGGATTCCAAACAGGATACAACCAAAAAAATGCACATCAAATCACATTATAGTCAAACATGAAAATTTAAGACCAAGGAAAATCTTGGCATCAACAAGAGAAGTTGCACTTTACTTGCAGAAGCAAACAATTTGAACAACAGCAGATTTCCCATCAGAAACCATGGAGAACAGAAAGAAGTAGCATTTTTGATGTTTTGAAAGAAAATTATCAATCTAAAATTCTACTGTAGTTTTTAGTTGCCACTAAGATGACCATTGACATATGACAACCTCATGCACCATCCCTGTCTATATTGAACTGCAGACCAGACCATTGTGATCTGTCTGTTTCCATGACACAACTTAAATTTGAGCTACTTCTTTCTATAGTGTTTTGTAAGAATTAATATTGATAGATGAATGGAAAAATGCTGAGAATTGTTGAAGCTGGACACAGGTTTTTAGTATATACTTCTAATTTTGTGTATTCTTAAATATTTTCACAAGGAAAAAATCTTTAAAAACATTTAAATTTCTTCCTAAGCATCTTCTTCCAATATGCTCCTTTCCATATTTTTTTACCACAGTGCTGTGGGTTATACGTTGGGCTGCTAACCTAAAGATTAGTGGTTCCAAACCACCAGCCCTTCTGGGGAACAAAAATGAGGTTTTCTCCTCCCATAATGTGATCTAACATAATGTAATCAACTCAATGATGAGATCTGTTGTGAGCAGTCATTCAGTTCTGGGAAGACCAGTAGAGTGAAACCCCTTACTGGGCTCCTAACCCTAATGATGTG